TTCGATGTTTAGTAAGCCTACGTTTAAGCGCGCAGCCACCAGCGAGCATTAGTTCGTGGACGCTGGCCTTCTTTGCACTTGAGCGGACCTGCTCTGAGTCCCATGTTAGGCAGTTTCTCGTCTGTCCGATGCTCGATGTGAAATTCTGGTCTCTCCTCATTTTAGGCACACTCCACCATCATACATTTCATAAACGTGAAAGGGGCAAAGGGTGAAGGTGTGACAGTCCACTGCCGCGATCGCCAGTGCGACCACTTACTCGAGCTACAATTCTGCCCGCCTCACGCTCGTTGGCAATCTACTGCTGGGGTCCACTTTTGATTTAACTCGAGAGGCCGATCCAAGCTGAGTCTGACATTGGTCGCAGACATAGAAACGGCGCAGCCTCGCGCTGGGATCCAACAACTTCCACGGAGGACATTTATACACACGCATAGGGAGACGGCTTGTTGTGCCTGCTTGCTCTTTTACATCAGTAGGGACAATACACAAACTTCGCTAGTTTCATTCCCCTACGACAAAAACGAAATCTAGTCCGATGTTTGGCACAAAGAGCTTGAAAAATTTGCTCAACAGATAGCATCGAGGAGGAACTGAGAAAAACCAGGACTTCCTTCCTGAAAACGGGTATCCGGACAGGTTTATCGCAAAGAATATGGCCGAATGACCTGTAAAACCCGCCACACCGACTGCCGAAAAGAGAACTTTGTTCCTTAAAGTCCCTTTTTAAGGGGACGCTGCGAGTGAACTCCTAAACAGACGCCTTGATCAAGCTGTTTCGCGAGACTTCCCAGAGGCAAGGGTCCAAGTATCCTTCTCTACGAACCCTATTTTACGCGGAGAAGGTAAGTATAAGTTACCACCCCAGACCACTTAAATGTGCGTCTATTCCTTTACTTGCTCCTGTGGAGCAGGTTATGTTGCTCGCACGAGTCGGCGCTCTGGGACAGCGCCTGTTACCAACACCAGAGGCGGCCGCCATCAGGTTGCGAAAAGCGATCTTGTGCGCACAAAAGAACCACGTTCAGGTTCCGCGCCTATAGTGGCCGAAGGTCAAATAACGCTTCAACTCTCTCGCGCCCTTCCGCTCTCANCTTTCCCACACCCAGCCTGTGTTTTAAAGCGAACTTTTATCGACTTATCTTATCACTGACGTGTTTGTTCTTCTACCCGTTCCCATATAACTTTACTGGCCCGACGAGAATTTATCGAAAACTACGTATGCTCGCCACCTCGCCTTCAGTAGAGATTGTCTAGCACAATCAGTCTTTTCCAGTTTGATTTTGGATTGATCATATGTCGACCATCGCATACCGACAAAAATAGTTCAGCATAACCCATCTGTCAGTGTAAATGCCTCCGACATTGCTCAATTATCCCTTACTCAAATTATCACTGGCACATAAAGTTGTCGCACCATCTGGGTAAAGGTGTGTAGTGACATTTAAGTCCGTTTTGTTTTGCTCAGTTACAATACGCTTTTTTAAGAGAACTTGGCACAACTTTGAATGAGACATAGAACAAGCACGTGCACTTTAATCTGCTGACGACTTTGTTCTTATTTGCTAGTTTGTAACTGTTGGGATACTACTATCTTCGTTTCCTGTATGGCCTACTCACTGTGCCGAACTAATGGGTTTATCACTTACAGGTGTTCCGAAGATGAAAATCGAAGCAAATGTTTGGCAGGGACTGTCGCGCTTGCGTCGTTGAAGGCCTTTGCCACACATAACGACGATGGTGTGCACGTTGTTTCTCATCTTCTGATGCTTTTGGTTGGAGATGACAAACAGGGAAGGCCATGTCGATCGTACCCTCGTAAGTCAAAGTGACTTTCGAGAGCAGTCCTTGCTCCAGGCGGCGCATGAGTAAAATGAGAGCGAAAAATCTCCAAGCAATGTTCGTAAGGTTGTTGTCTCTGTGACAACTACAGAACTGCCGGTTCGCCTACAGTTAGAGATGCGCACGACGTGATTTCTTTTGGAACTGCCAGGTGAGCTTTTCTACGAGTTTCATGCCGCTGTTCGTCATCGTTGCCGGAGTCTAGTCCGCACCCGGCAGTTGTCTACTTCATCAATGGGCATCTGGAACTCCATGCAGCTTACCAGGCTTTGCGCCATTACGTTCACCAAGCTCAGGACAAGACCACCACACAGAACCTAAGAAGATCGCGCAGGCACAGCCCGAAAACAAGCTCACTCGACGAGGAAGAAGAACAACCGCCAGAGTGACCGACCCCGGAAGCGGATCGACCACTATCACCCAGACAAGGTAGTGACGAGCAACGCATCCAGCAAAAATGCCCCCCTCCCAAACGTCCCCCAAAATGTCGACGCAG